CCTCTGGAGGAAGGGGATAGGGGCAGGAGTCTTGAGTCAGAGTGGTGTAGGGCTATTTTGAATGCAGCTATTTGGGGAGAACTGGTTGGTGCTTTGTATTTATTTATAGGTCACTTGAGTTCATCCTTTCTGTGCAGACAGCAGCATTTGTTCAGTGAGCATGTCCTATCTCTCCCCTGAACCAAAAACTGTGTGAAAAGCCCAAACCAGAACCTGCTCTGCTCCTCAGGCACTTACAGCCTCTGCTAGACTGAAAGAGGAAGTGGCATAGAGGAGCTAAAGGGGTTAATAAAAGGAGACATAAAGGTGAGGGCTGGAGAGGACAGGTTTGAAAAGGTAGCTTGCTTTAAAAGACATAAAATTTTCTTGGGGAAAAAGAATTGATGGGGCTCATAATGTAGCTCAGTGGTAAAGTAGGTGCTTAGCATAAGCATGGCCCTAGGTTCAATCCCCAACATGAGAGGGAGGGAGGGAAGAAGGGGTGGGGACTGAATGAATGAATATGAATGTGAATATGCTACTCAGAAGGAAATGGTATAAGCAAAGGTTCCAAGGGCTTTTTCAAGCTTGGTGAGTCAACCTTGTCACAAGTTTGAATGAGGTGCGCATAGGGGCAACAGGGACAGGGAGGTAGGGGGTAGGGCCCATTGGCTGCAGTCAGTTCATAGATTTTTTTTGTGGTACTGGAATCAAACCCGGGGCCTCATGCATGCTGAGCACACACCCTACCACTGAGCTACATGCCTAGCCAAATTGTAGATTTGTCATGAAGATCTTAAACCTGGGAATCACTCCATGAATCTGTGGGGAGTGAAAGTGTAGGCTTGGATCCTTGCCCTATGCTTATAGCAATTGGCAAGGTCAGGCCCGGGGGTTGGGTCTCTGCACTCTGAGCAAAGGGGGCCAGTGGACTGACAGTCTGTCCTCCTATAACAGATTATAAGCTTCTAGAGGACAAAGGTTCCTGTTTTGTTCACTGAGGAAATGCCTAGTACTTAGAAAGTAAGCATAAATATTGTGTTTGGAGCCTGAAGTACAACCTAGGACAGCCACTCAAGATCCAGAACTAACTCATCTCACATGGCTATCTTTTTGTTGTTGTTGTTGTTTTGAGATAAGGTCTCACTTTGTGTTCAGGCTGGCCCTGAACTCACTTTGTAGCCTAGGCTGGCCTCAAACTCCTGGCGATCCTCCTGCCTCTGCCTCCCAAGTGCTGGGATTATAGGTGTGCACCACCGTGCCTGGCAAAATTGTATTGAAACCTAGGATTTTTAACTTTTTTTTTTTTTTTTTTTGGTACTGGGGATTGAACTCGGGTCCTTGTGCTTGCGAGGCAAGCGACGGAACGAAACCTAGGATTTTTTATTTTTTTGTACAGGGGATCGAACTCAGGTCTTTGGGCTTGCGAGGCAAGCGGCAGAACCATTGAGCTAAATCCCTGGCACGTCACGTGGCTATCTTTAAACCTTCCAAGTTTGAGCCAAGCATGGTGGCACATGCCTCTAAACCTAGCACTCTGGGAGGCTGAGGCAGGAGGATGGCAAGTTCCAGCCCAGCTTAGGCAACTTAGCAAGACCCTGTCTCAAAACAAACAAAACCAAAAAATTAAAAGGAAGTGGGGTGGGGCTATAACTTAGTGTGAAGGCTCTGGGTTCAATCCCCAGAACCAAAGAAAAAAAAAAGGCCCTGAAGTCTGACCACTGGAGTCAGCCTCAGAATGTGATTCAGTAGGAAGCAAAAGGCTAGGGGGAAGGCTTAGTAGTAGTGTTTGCCTAGCATACATGAGGCCCTGGGTTCAATCGCCAGCACTAAACAAAAGCGAAAAACAACCAAAAATACTAGAAGACAGGATGCCCCGTGGTAGGAAAAGAGACATGGTGGTAACTCTAATATTGGCTGACCACACTTTTGAGCCTTATCCTATCTTCTTTTTCTTTGGGAACCCTAGAATTGCCTGATAAAGAAAGATGAGAATGGTTACTCTGCAGTGGTGGCTGACTTTGGCCTGGCTGAGAAGATCCCTGATGTGAGGTGAGCAGCCCTAACGGATGCTAGGGTCACAGAGCGGGAAGTTAAAGCGAGGGAAAACCCAGCTTCCTTCTCAAAGCCCAGGACTTGGTCACAGCTCATCCTCACCTCCTGAATTTTGTCAGTCCTAATCTGTACCCAGCCTTGAGAAAGAAATTCCCAACAGTTGAAAGGTCCTATTGTGCCCGGCAGTGGCAAGCTCACTTTTATAATCCTGCCTCACAGCATGGGGAGTGAGAAGCTGGCTGTGGTGGGCTCACCCTTCTGGATGGCACCAGAGGTTCTCCGAGATGAGCCTTATAATGAGAAGGTAAGTCTGGAGGAGCTCAAGGCCTGGTTCTCTTTAGAAGCCACTCCACTAGTAGTTAGTGCCTAAGATCACCATCTATGTTTACAGTAAGAATTGACATCCTTCCTGCCAAGAGCAGGGTTGGCATCTGCAGTTGCCCAGAGAATGACTTGAATAAGAGCGCCCAAATGTGGGTGGTTAGACATGGGGGGCAGATACCTCTCCCTCACTCTATAGAGAGGGAAACCGAGGTCTCACTACCCACCAGGCAGACGTGTTCTCTTATGGTATCATCCTCTGTGAGATCATTGCCCGCATCCAGGCCGATCCAGACTATCTTCCCCGCACAGAGGTAAGCTGCAGGCCTGGGGAACAGTGCCGCTGGGATGGGGCTGGTTTGAGGCTACGGAGTTGTTTCGTCCCTGGGTAGAGTTGCTGGGACTCATGCTGTGACTACTTCTTAGAGGTAGCTTCCAGCCTCTTCTAACGAGCAGGCCAGGATGGTTGGGGGGATTAATGACCTGTCTACCCATATGTCCTGTACCCTCCGCCATACCCATCCACAGAATTTCGGGCTGGACTATGACGCTTTCCAGCACATGGTGGGAGACTGTCCCCCAGACTTTCTGCAGCTCACCTTCAACTGCTGTAATGTGAGTGTCTTTCTCCCCTGGCTATAGTCAGAGACTAAATGAGTACTTTTTTCCTGGTTAGGACTATAGGGAGAGGGAGCTTATTAGTCTCATGAGGGACCTCATTTTTACTGGATGTGTAACAACCAACCTTACTTCCTTCAAAATTGCTTTGCCTGCAAGGTACGCCTAATGCCCCTTGCCTTGGATGCTGGAGCTCTGGTCAGGTTTTATTGTTGGACTGTGGATCCAGCCAATCCTTAAGCATGAGAAAGCCTCTTTATTAGCCTTCATTTTATGAGGCTAGACCTGTTATGACCAAAGGACAGCTAGGGTTTGTTCAGGTACCTCCCAAAATCACATTCAGCAGAACTCAAGAAGCACTGTGAACCAGGCATGGTGGGTGCAGGCTTGTAATCCTAGCACTTGGAAGGCTGAGACAAGAGGACTGCCCCAAGTTCAAGGCCACCCTGGGCTACATAGTGAGCTCAAGGCCATCCTGAACAACATAGCAAGACCTTGTATCAAAAAATAAACAAAAAAAGAACCAATGTGAGCATACACCTTTGGAGAGTTCTGTTCCAAACAAGGGGATAGGACACACATATAAAGAAGACTGAGATGTGAAGTTTAATATACAGTAGCATCTTCCCTGATCTTAACCCTGGGAATCACCCTTATGGCCTGAGACCTCAATACAGAGCTCTTTGCTGCACATCTGAATCCTAAAAGATGACAGAGACTCAAACTCCGTTTTTGGGGTGGGAGATGGAGGGGAGGACTCATGGCTAGTATGGATGCCTACAGATGGACCCCAAACTGCGCCCATCCTTTGTGGAGATTGGGAAGACCCTGGAGGAAATTATGAGCCACCTACAGGATGAAGAGCTAGAGAAAGACAGGAAGCTGCAGACTACCACTAAAGGTAAGAGATCAGGTGTGTTGACACATGCCTATAACCTAGCACCCTGGAAGGCTGAGGCAGGAGGATCCCAAGTTCGAGTCTAGCCTGGGCAGTCTAGTAACTTAGTGAGACCTTGTGTCAAAAATAATAGGGATATGGCTCAGTGTGAAGGCCCTCAGTTCAATCCCCAGCACTGAAAGAAAAAAAAAAAAGGTCAGCCCAAATAGTCTAACCTAATGACTGTGGGGCATTACCCTCTGAGGCTCAAGACAGCAGGTCTGGAAGCAAGGAAGGACAGGAGATCATGGGGGAAAAAGGTACTGGACCCTTGAGTTATGATTTAATCTATTACTTCCTTTTTCTGAGTCTGTCCTCATTGATAAAATGGGACAAGATTATCTACTTTGCTGTAACTAGTAAGTAACCTAGACTTGACTATTGTTCTTCAGGTCTCTTTGAGAAAGTGCCTGGCGGGAAGAGACTGAGCTCACTGGATGACAAGATTCCCCACAAGTCACCTCATCCGAGACGTACTATCTGGCTGTCTCGAAGTCAGTCAGATATCTTCTCTCGTAAGGCCCCACGTACAGTGAGTGTCTTGGACCCTTACTACCGGCCACAAGATGGTGCTACCCGCACCCCCAAAATCAACCCTTTTAGTGCCCGGCAGGACCTCAAGGGTGGCAAGATCAAGTTCTTTGACCTCCCCAGTAAGTCTGTCATCTCCCTGGTATTTGACCTGAATGCACCAGGGCCTGGAAATGTGACTGTAGCTGACTGGCAGGAGCCCATGGCCCCACCTGCTCGCAGATGGCGTTCTTTGCCTGGTTCACCTGAGTTCTTGCGTCAAAGAGTCTGTCCATTTGTGAGCTGTGAAGAATCACTATCGGATGGGCCTCCACCACGCCTCAGCAGTCTCAAGTACAGAGTGAGAGAGATCCCGCCATTCCAAGCATCTGCCCTGCCAGCTGTTCCAGCCGAGGCTATGGACTGCTGCAACCCCCAGGAGGAAAACGGTTTGGGGCCCAGCCCATGTTATGGAGTTGCCTCTGAGGAGATAGAGGTAGAAGAAAGGCCAAGAGGCTTGGCACCAGTCTCTTTCTCTATCTCAGGCATGGGCCTACAAACCCAGGGAGAGCAAGATGGGTGAGGAGGTTAGTCCCTGCCTCACCTTGGGGATGAACATTCAGCTGAAGCCATAGAGCCCCCTTGGTGCACAGCCTTAACTCTTCACTGGAGTCCATAGTGCAGGCTGGCTAAGCCAAGCCATGCTCAACTTTTGGGCTCTTAATGTCCAATGGCTGGATATGAAAAGAGGCAGCAACAAAAACCCCTCCTAGTTAGGCCAACTGCTGATACTAAGCCTATGAAATCCAGCAAGGAGCTCTGGTACCAACCTGATGCCAGTGCACTTCCCCAGACAGGACCAGAAGACTCCTAGTTCTAGGCTGAGCTGGCAGGCTGTTGTCAACCCAGTTCTTCTACTACCCTAGATCTCTCTTGCCCTCTCTGGAGCACAGAAGCTACTAGATGGAAAGTGGAGCTGACCACGAGGCCATAAGAGCATGACTGTTTCTCAGACCTGAAGACTGGGGTGCTTCTTGCCAGTATGTCTAAGACACTTGAATAATTGTTGTTTGCACTTACTGCATAGTCAGACCACATCACTACATTTCTATGCAAGGGGAGGGCAAGGCAGTGTGGTGGTCATGGCTCGTAGCTAACCTATTCAAAAACCTTTTCCAGTTGATTAATCTATTTTCATATTTATAAAGGAGTCTTAATGTTCTGCCTCATAAGACTTTCAACCTTGTGGTTGGGAGTGGGGCTAGTTTTGTAGGCCTTAGGGCCTGCTCTGTGTTTTTGGGAACAGATACATGCAGGTGATTAAATGGTTTATACTTGGACTGTTTTTTCCCCCTTCCTGCTATAGCTGGAGCTTTGGGAAGTTTGTCCTTACAGAGCCGCAATAAGAAACAACCAAAGAATGAAGATGGTCAAATATTTTCATAACTCATTTCTGTTTTTTTGTAAAACTTTCCCAAGACACTTTCAGATTTAAAAAATAAATAAAGTCAGTGTTGCAGGTGCTGGTCAGCCTTCTTGTACCCTTATACCTCAGCCTCTGGTTAAAGGTCCAGGGGCAATGCAGCCAGAACTCCCCACCCCCTACTCTATAGTGGTTGAGAGTGTGACGTTGACAGATTAGAGATCCAAACAACTGTTTTTTCAGCTTTCCTTCCGGAGCTGAGTGATAAGTAGAAGTTGGGTCAGCTGCTGCCCCAAGCCAGCTTCATCTTCTGGTTGTGAGCTTTGGAGGATCGGGAGAACTGGCTCTTGGCCACTGTGAGGGGCACAGCTTTGCCACTCAGATATACCTTGTTGTGACATTCAGGTAGCCAGAGTCCAGAGCTGCAGGGCTGGGGTCCCTGGCTCACTCCCACATAGGCCATCACATAACCCGTCATAAAGGCATCAAAGCCAGCCCGGTGCAGTCCATCCCCAGGCACTTGATTAGGACTGGCTTGACTCCCTGGCTCTTCTACAGTAGGCATGTCAGCTGTTTCAGGGCCTATTGCCTGAAGCCCCATCTCCAAGTCATTTTTGTGACTTTCCTGAGAGCCAGGAGGGTCCTTAGTTTCATTCTCAGTTACTTTTTGCTCAACTTCCTCAGTCTTGAGGCTGTCTCCACAGACCTGCTTGGTGGGAGGACAATCCTCAGCTTCCCTAGAAGTCCGTGTCCCAGGCATGCTCAACAAAGCCCTCCTCCGTTTTTCCTTACGTCGCCGCCGTCGCCGCTTGTCCTCCAGCATGGCCTCATCAGTGTCAATGATAAGGTCAATATCATGGGATCGAGGACACTGTGGTCCCAGGGGGCACCAGCCGTAGGCCTAGAGGTAGGAAAGAGGCTTAGAAAGAGGTTCCGGATATTAGACACACACACACACCCCAGGAAATGGGTGAGTGCTCTTACCGAGAAGTTGTCACAGACACTGCTGGGATGAGGATGGTGGGTGGCAGGGGGCATACAGCAGCGGTAGTCAATATGGGTCCTCATGCTAGAAGGATAGCTGCAGAACTCCAGGGTAAGGTGTGGGCTGCCAGTTGCCCGCTGCTTCCCATTTTCCCGCTCACTGCAATAGCGCAAGAGTGTATTGGTCCACTAGCACATAAACTCCATGAGAAGAGGGGTTTTTGTCTGCTGAATCCTCAGCACCTAAAACAGTGCCTGGCACATGGTAGGTGCTCAATAAATATCTTAAGTGAATGACCAGGCCTCACCCCTTTCCCTCAATCATTCCCTCACCATTTCTTGAAGGCATATTCTAAGTAGGAGGCCATGAAGCGGGCATGAAACTCAGCAGCATATTTGGTGTCATAAATGCCTGCAGGGAACATCTCACACAGGTCGGCAGTGAAGGTTCCCAAGCTGTCAGGCAAGTGTGCATAGAAGTTCTGGTACAGGAACACCAAGTCTATAAGGCCATTATGTAGCACGAGCGGCCGCTGGGCCCGGATCAGCTCCAGGAACAGTGTCCGAACTGACTGGCTGTGACTCTCATCACCCTAGTTGGAAGGAAAGGAGTCAGTGGGAAGAACGGTTCCTCAGGAGCATCTTCTGCAGGACACTTATCCCAGGCTCCCCCACCTGAGAAGCGCTCCCTTGATACCTAACCTGATGCTACCCACACTTGTATCAGTTTTGTTTTCCCAGCCCCAGCACAAGTGTTCCTCATACTGAGAAGCAGATTCTCCCGAACCACACAGCCTAGAATAGGAAGAAATGAAGTCACATAAATGAAAGCCTCAAGGCTAGGCAAGCCGGAGGCCTACCTTGTCGTTGCCCTTATGATAAGGGATGCCCTGGGCATACTGCCGGTTGAAGTTGAAGCCATGCTGTACCAGGAACTGCACAGACTTTGGTTCTATAACATACTCTTCCATGCACAGCAGGGTAAGATTAAAAACCTGGGCTAGGTAGGAGTGTTCACCCTGAGAGAAAGAGGGTTTGCTCTATTAAGATTTCAGAGGAAAAAACCTCACACTCAGTGCTCCCAGGATCTCAACCTTCCTCCCTCCCCCAGCCACAGACCTGGAATGGGAGAAAGGTAGCCCGTACCTTGTTTGGCTGCTGCTTAAAGCAGGCAAGCCCCAGAGAGAGGACAGAACGGGTCCTGGCAGCATGACACACGGCTTTGTAACGTTCTTCGATGCACCTTGGGGATTCATTTGGGGATACCTGTGGCTGAGTTAGCTTTATGGAAGAACCAAACCAGCCAAAACTGGGACCTCCCTACACCCACTCTGGAGTTGAAGTCTGTCTCTCCTGCCAGGAGGAGGACTAAGGAGAAGGCTTGTACTTACTGGTTCAGCAAACTCTTCCTGTCCCCAAGCCCGCTTAGCTCCTATGGATGGTAAAGGGAGGGTTGTGATGGGCCCCAAGCACCAGCCCTTTCATGACCACCTGCTCTCCCTGTTTCCCATCTCTCACCGTGTCCACAGCCACGAAGCTAGCTGTCTTTATGGCCAGAAGGAGGGATGGCCACATCTCCTTGAAGTTGTCACTTTGCACATCCACCACAGGAACCTGGACTAGTACTAGCTCCTCCCTAGATTTCGGGCTTTTGTTGACACCACCTGGGGATAAAGAAAGGTGATGGATGTTCCTGTTCTGCCAAGGTCCCACAAGAAAAGACACCAATCTAAGGTGGGGTAGTCTGAGTTACCACTGAAAACTCAGCTTTTCCCTTAAGCCTATGTATTCTACAGTGCTCTATACTTAGGACTTGGAGTGGACAGTTCCCTGAATTTGAGAGCAGAAGCCAGGGTTTTCCAGCGACTTTCTGTGAGACTCTGGGAAATTATTTCCTAGATTTTTAAAGGTTCTTTCTCCCCGCGCCCTGCAGGAAATGTTTTGCAGGTCTAGAGGATTTCAGCTCCCTTAAGATTCCATAAGGCTCTGTACTACGGTTCTTGTGGTCCCCTCATGGGTCTCAGGGCTCCCAATACATCCTACTTCCTTTGGACCATAACGGCCAACCTGCCACACTCTACGAAACCACAAGTCAGGCGCTCCATCCGTTTCACGTCTCCCGACAAGCCCGCACCAGCCCTGACTGCTCCCAACACGCGGTGCACACCGGGATTTGTAGTCTCCTTATGGCTGGCTCTGGCGGAAGAAGCTACAGGTTCCTGGAAAATTAAGACCTATCTCTATAGGGCCGGGGCTTTAGCTCAGTGGTTCTGCTACCTGCCTCAAAAGTACAAAGACGCGAGTTCGATCCCTGGTAGAAAAAAAAAAGAAAATGATTTGGCCCGGGGATTTAACTCAGTGGTTCTGCCGCCTGCCTCGCAAGCGCAAGTTCCCGAGTTCGATCCCCGGTACCAAAAAAAGAAAAAGACCTATCGCTACAGCTATGCGCCGGACTCTTTTCCCTGCGCCGGACTCTTTTTCCCTCCGCCGCAGCACCTAGGCTTTTAGGGCGGTTTCTTGAAATCCGCTCACCGTCAGAGGTCGCTGGAGCTGAAGCTGCGCTGTCCTCACTGCCCGCGGCCATGACGCCCCAGGATCCTTGCCTGAGTCGTCTGTGGGAACGCAAGGCTTCCGCTTCGTCTGAGGGATCGACTCGCGTGGTAGCGGATGCCCTGGGTATCCCGCTCCGGGTCGCTGTACCAGCCGACTTCTTTTCAGTTCCGGAGCGGGTGGGAGGAGCGGCCAGACGCACTGAGAGCCTATTGGCTGGTGCGTCCGGCTCCCGCCCAGCCGCTCTCCTTGGAGCTACCCTGGCGTCGCGCGCGGGAGTCGGTGCTGGAGGTAATTTGTGTTCCCGCGCCGGGGTGTGAGGGCTCTGCGTGGTGTGCTGTCTCCATCAGCACCATTGGGGATGAGCAGGCCAGGCATCCCAGAGGAGGGGGCGCTGCCTGAGCGGAGCGTGAAGCTAACCTAGAAATTAGGAAAGGAGAGGGTCGTATGGAGGAGAGTGTTCTGGGTCGGAGCAAATTCCCCGGGAGGATGGGCCGTGCAGGGCGTTCCACGAAGCTAAAGAGGCCAGGGAGCGTCCCATAGTACGAGGCTGCATAGGGTGTAGAGCGACGGGCTGCAGTAGAAGGGGTGTTGAGGAAAGGACAGTTTATAAAGCGATTAGGAGGGCCGAGGATTTAGCTCAGTGGTTCCGCCGCCTGCCTTGCAAGCGCAAGGTCCCGAGTTCGATCCCCGGTACTAAAAAATATAGCGATATAGGAAGTATAATTGACCTAGAGGGGGTGTTTGAATATGACTCCTGCTACCGTGAAGCAGGTGTCCGAACTGGAGACAGATCCCTCCCCAGGAGCCCTGGTTCCCATCCTCTCAGCACGATTCTTTCTCCTTGTTTACTCACTTGTTTTAACTTCATCCTCAACTTTTCTCTCTATTGAGTCCTTTTCATCATCATTCAGAATTGTCAGGGCTTCCCCATCCTGAAGGGGAAACATTTCCTTTGACCCTCCCCTAGGTACTGATTTATACAGTTTATGGAGGACTGGTTCAGAGGGCACAGCAATGAGCAGAATGCTGCTGGAGGCCTAGGCCAGAGCGGGTCTGACTTCTGGGAGTCCCAAAGAACCACGTGTGGCCACTTGCCCCAAAAGAAAACGGAAAATGTAATGGTAACGTGGGAAAGGAATATTTAGTATAACCATACTGGGAAGATAGGGGACTGGCGTCCTCATCCCCGCCTTTGAGGGTACTGACATGAGCTTCAGGGTGAAGAACTGTGGCAAGGGGCAGAAGATACAAATAGTTCAAACTCCTCAGGTTGATCATTCTCAGGTCTGGTTCTGAGGGGTGGTGCTGGAGAAGTGGTTATCACTTGATGCATTTGGGTTCCCATCACAGGATAATTGTTCCTGCTGAGGCGCACACAGCCTCAGTTCACATCGTGGGGTGAATGATTGCTCCCGTTTGGGGGGGCAATCTCATCATAGGGTGATCTGCTTGTAAACTCACTGTTTCTGGCAGTTTTAGGACAATGACTGGAGACTTCTAGGTGCTGTCCCTGTGATCTGAAACAGGACATTGTAAAAGCTGGTGTTTGATAATCTGTTGATTATGATGTTTGTACCAGTCTTGGAAATACCTTACTCTTTTTTTTTTTTTTTTGAGACAGGGTCTTGCTGTGTAATTCAGGCTGGCCTTGACTCACTATGTAGCCCAGGCTGGCTTCGAATTTGCAGTGATCCTCCTGCCTCAGCCTTCCAAGTGCTGGGATTACAGGTGTGTACCACCATGCCCAGCACCCTTAGTTACTTTTGTTTTGGTGTCCTCAGCTTTGAAGGAGGATGATTATCAAGTTTAGATGAGCACTGGGTTTTTGTTTGTTTGGTTTTTTGAGACAAGGTCTTTTTTAGGCTGGCATTGAACTCACTATGTAACCCAGACTGGCCTCAAATTTGCAGTGATCCTTCGGCCTTAGCCTACCAAGTGCTGGGATTATAAACATGCACCACCACACCCAGCAGTAAATACTATTTAAATGATTAACATGCCTACCTGCAGAATTGAGCAGGAATCTGACCCACAGTTTTTAAAAAAATTAATTTTATTGGTACACTTTTGACAAATAATGATCACATTAATCATAGGGAATTTGTACCTTTACATATTATATCTTAATTCTTTTTTTCCCCTTCCCTTCTCTTCCCTTCAATCCTTCTTCCCCTCTTCCTTTACAAAACTTTGTTTCTATTGTTTTCCTTCCATTCTTCTTTATTTTTTAAATCCCTTTTCCCTCCCTTTCCTTTCCCCTCCCACCTCCCTTGTTTCCCTTCCCATTTGAACATGTACTTCCTAATACTGACCTGCAGGGTTTTTTTTGGGTTTTTTGGTACTGAGTATCGAACTCAGGGCCTTGTGCTTGGCAGGTAGGCGCTGTGCCGCTGAACTACATCCTTGGCCCACGACCTACAGTTTTAAGGTGGTAAAGGAGAAAGACGCAGAATGAAGACAGCCGTACCACGCTTTTACCCTGCTTTTATTTACACATTGGGCATCTGCAGGCCCACTTGAAGAGTCAGGACTTTCAGCAACAGCAGCCTCTCAGAGTCTTAAAAGAAGAGACCGAATCCTGGCCCTCATGGAGTTTTGTGTTTTGTTTTTTTTACAGTCAAATAGGATTTAGATAGGGATCATCATGGTAGGACAGTGTTGATGGGTTGACAAACCCTTCGTAGCATGGCATGTTTCAATAGACCTGTCACGTGAGCTTGATAAAACACAGAAGCAGGTTTGAATGAAATGAACTGTTACCAAGGGAAAATCTAAGTTTTCTAGCTGCACTTGCTCTCAGTCTGTTTAAAAATCAGTAATTTTGGAGGTGACGTAGCCAGACAATACATTATTAGTTTCCCACAAGCTTTGCTGTAAGATAACATCTCTGACATGTGGTGTTGTCTGGGCTACTGACTTCCCAGGCACCCGAAGTCCACTTTCACTGAAAACATTGACCCTGTATTTGGCCTTGCAGATGTCTGATGAGTGACTAAAATGAGATAAAGGCTTTACGTAGCTGCAGTCCCAGGTCTCAAAAGGCTGAGGCAGGAAGATTGCTGCGAGTTTGAGGCCAACCTGAATTATACAGTGAGACTCTGTCTTAACACCCCGCCCCCCAAAAGAAAAAAAGGCAGCCAAGCTGGGCATGGTGGTGCACATCTGTAATCCCAGCATTGAGGCAGGAGGATCTCTGAGAGTTTAAGGCCAACCTGGGCTACATAGTGAGTTCAAGGCCAGTCTGAACTCCATAGTGAGACCCTGACTCAAATCAAAAAAGAAAAGGCAGTCAAAAGAATAGTTGGGGAGCAGTGAAGATCAGTCAGATACGTTTTCTCATTAGTAATGGTCACCAGTTATGACTTACTAGGTCCAGAAAAGATTAGAAATAAAAGCAGCTTATCTCTGTCTCCCCGCTGATTTGCCATCTACTCCCCAACTCTGATCTTTGGTTTCTCCTTTCTAGCAAATGAAGGGTTTGGACTAGATGACTATCAAAGGCTCTTGTAGTGTAACCTTGCTACATCTGTAAGCAGAGAAACCTCCACGCCCCACGCCCCATTCCCAGACACCCTGAAATAACCACTATCCATACATTGATCACCAAAAGCATCAGGGAGCCCTCACTCTCTGTGTCCCAGCCACCATGATGTGAGCTGCTTCTCCTCTGCCATGCCATCTGGCCTTGGAACCAGCCAGCTATGGACTGAAACCAGTATAAAGCACCAGTTAGCCAAAAGAGACTGATGTACTATCCCAAGGTTTAACGACATATGTTGTGGGAGAATCCCCAAAGAAACAGATATTCTGACAAATTCCTCATGGTAATTAAAAGGGTTTTACTTCCTTCGGAGGAGAATTTGGGTCCTGCTACAAGTCTGTGGGCACTGCTGAAAGTCCTCTCTTCACTCCTGTGTATGTTCTGAACAAAGAGAAATGACAATGGCGGACACAGTCACTGCAACAACCATACGACTCTTCACCTCCTCATAATTCTCTCTTCCTTTTGACTCTTTTTTTTTTTTTTGGTACTGGAGATTGAACTCGGGACCTTGCGCTTTCGAGGCAGGCGCTGGAACCACTGAGCTAAATCCCCGGCCCAACCTCATAATTCTCAACAATGACCTCTTTGTCACCACTCATTATTTTACCAAGACCCATGACCTGCTCTCTTCTTCTTGACCAGCAAGTGCTGGGGTCATCAAGTATTTTCTGGTCCTGTGAAACCTACCTGCAGATGGCCTGCCAGCTTCCTCCCAGAGGGCTGCTCAGTACCACCCACCTCCAGCAGGACCATCCAAGCTTCTCTTTGGTGCCATCCCTCTATCTTTTAGAATTATTTACCCATCTGACTCCCTACCTCTGTTTTTAAATTTTACAAGACTTCCAATTATTCAGTCCTCGGAGTGCTCTCTCTTATCTTCCAGTCATTTTCCTTACTCTTCTTATTTACTGAGTTGCTGTGGTTCATTGTTTCAATAATACATATGCTGCATTAGCTAAGATAGGTTTAGTTAGTGAATATCTCTCTTTTACTAGTAGAAACAATGATATTTTAGGTACTAAGAAAAAGAGAAAAAACCTCAACATAGAACTCCTTGCACACATGATAACTACATATTTATGGGGTACGGAGATGATAACTACTCTTGATTGTTACACATTGTATACATGTCTCAAATTATCACATGCACCCTTATATATGCACAATTAAAATAATAAATTAATGTGCAGTATAAAAGGTTTTTTAAAAAAAAATTCCTTTTGAATGACAGCATAATGTCATTCAAAAAAATAGATCAAACAGTAACTTTTTCAGGAAATAAAATCTGAAAAAATTCACTGTGAACACAAATATAGCAAAAGAAATGTTGAATAAGCTTCTTCTGTAGCAGAGAAAATGATGGCAAGTAAAATGAAAGCATAACGGTGGAAGTAGAATCAGATGAATGGATAAAGAAAATTATATATATATGAATATATATGTATATATATGACTACTTGGCCATAAAGAAGGATAAATTTGAGTCATTTGTAGAAAATGGATGGATCCAGAGACCATAAGGCTAAGTGAAATAAATCAGACACAGAAAGTGACATTTGACTTGGTTTCTCTTATGTGAGAAACCCAAAATATAAATAATTTAAAGAAAAAAAAAGACAGTAGGAAACAGGTAGAATTTGCGGAGATGGGAAAGAGATCTAAAGGAGGAGGAAGGACTGGGGAAAGGGGAAGTAAAAATGATCAAGGTGCAACGTGTAGATGTACCAATTCCCCAAGATGAATGTAATTTTATGCATCATAAACATATACTGCTAATAAAGAAATTTAATATGTGAGCAGAAAAAAAAAGCAGGGATACACAAGCGCTCCTCCCGGGAGGCTTTGGTCCCTGACCCATCCGAGGCCTGGCGTCTTATTCAGAGCATGTCCAGGGCTGTATTCATGCTGGGCCCCTGAGACCACTTACTCAGTTGTCCTGGTCATAACTTTGGTGCCATCAGAGCCAAGAGGAAAGCTCTGGGCATCTTGAGTGCTTGAGGGAAAAGTGGACACTATATGAGGAGTGTAGGGAGAGGGGACCCAGGACAGCCTCACTGTGACTATTGTGTCTGGGTCTTTCTGTTCCAGGCCATCATGAGGAAGCCACAAGCAGGTGCAGGAAGTGGTCGCAGGAAGCAAGCAGCCAGCCAGGAGGGAAGGGAGCAACATTCCCGCAGAAGCAGGCAGGCCAAGCCGCTTGCCCCTGATGGTGAGGATCTGGGCCTAGCCGAAGGCTCGGAAGCTGGTTTCATTGGCCATGAAAGGGGGCAGATTGAGGCTGGGAAGGGAGCATTGTGTATAGCAAGGCATCAAGACATTAATTGAAGGTCTAATTCTGATTGTATTGCTGTGTGACTTTGGGATAAATACTGATTGCCTGCTTTCTTACCAGGAAACTGGAGCAGTAGTCTATGCATTTCTTCCCTTGTGTGGCTCTCATGATGTCACATGAGTTTATGAACCTGTTTTGTAAATAAGAAACTCAACATGGCTATATATTATGCCTGGCTGAAACTGTTGAGTTTTCATTATGGCCCAGAAACAATGGAGCCAGCTGTACCATACTGAGAAAATTAAGGCCAGGTATTGGACCAGAATCTGGTCTCACTCCACTCCAAAGCTGAAGCAAGGGGCTGAGCTGGGGGAAGCTCTAAGTGGAAGCACACTGTCCTAGGTCCCTGGTGCATAGCCTGTGCAGGAACGATCTCTGACTATCGTGGGGTCCCCTGCAGGCCTAGCTGGACAGCAGGAAGAGGAAGTATCACAGGCCCCCATATCCCCATACCATCTATTCAGAGACACAGCTGAAATCATAGCCTTCCGGGGAAGCCTGCTGAGCTGGTATGACCGGGAGAAGCGGGACCTACCCTGGAGAAGACGAGTAAGTGGGCAAAGGACAGGGACGGTGGGGCAGGAGGCTGGCACCCAACCCCTTCCACACTGACTTCCCACCTGGGGTTGCATTGACAGGCAGAGGATGAGGTGGACCTGAACAGGCGGGCATATGCTGGTCAGTACCTCTTCCAAGAATGGGGCTGCTTTGCCTAGATGTCTGCACGTCAGGGGGCTGCAGGCAGGAACAGGGCAGTTTCAAGGTGCACTCATGCCAACCCCTCTTCCTAGTGTGGGTGTCAGAGGTTATGCTGCAGCAGACCCAGGTTGCCACAGTGATCAACTACTATACCCGATGGATGCAGGTGATGCCCAGAGAGGGAGGGGAAGGTTGGGCCAGACCCCAGATAAAAGCCTATACTTTGGATTGGGGATAAAGTGGGCTTCCCTCATCACCCTCATCCTCTACCTCATTTCTTCTTGCCGCCTTGGGGCTGTAGAAGTGGCCAACACTGCAGGACCTAGCCAGTGCTTCCCTGGAGGTGAGAGCTACCCTTGGGTAGGGGAATGGAGGCAACTAAGGGACTGACCACTGATTTCTTTGACCTGTGACCACATCCACAGGAGGTGAACCAGCTCTGGGCTGGCCTGGGCTACTATTCTCGAGGCCGTCGGCTACAAGAAGGAGCCCAAAAGGTAAGGGGTGGCAGGGGGCTAGGAGCCCAAGGGCCTAAGCTTGTCTCAAAACCTTGAGCTTTCCTACCTTAACCAGGTGGTAGAAGAGCTAGGGGGCCACATGCCATGTACAGCAGAGACCCTGCAGAAGCTCCTGCCTGGTGTGGGGCGGTACACAGCTGGGGCCATTGCTTCTATTGCCTTTGGCCAGGTGAGTCTGTAGCCTACCACCACTTTGTGTGTCCTCATGCACCTTCTTCCCAGCCCAGACTAACTCATTGACTCCTCTGTACCAGGCAGCTGGTGTGGTGGATGGGAACGTAGTACGGGTGCTCTGCCGTGTCCGAGCCGTTGGTGCTGATCCCAGCAGCACCCTTGTCTCTCAGCAGCTCTGGTAGGATTTTAGGGTAACGGAGGAAGTTAGGAGGGGTCCCTTCAAAGAATCTTTGGCTCCTAGCAGTATTCCCTTCTTGTAGGAGCCTAGCCCAGCAGCTGGTGGACCCAGCCCGGCCAGGGGACTTTAATCAAGCAGCCATGGAACTGGGGGCCACAGTGTGCACCCCACAGCACCCTCTCTGCAGCAGCTGCCCTGTGCAGAGCCTGTGTCGGGCACACCAGAGGGTGAGCACACTGGGAAGAAGCAGTCAGGGTCCTAGGGAGTGACCCTTCCCCATTTCACTCTACCTGTGATTCTCAGGTGATGCGAGAGCAGCTCTCAGCCTCACAGAGCCCACCAGGCATTCCTGACGTGGAGGAGTGCGGTGAGGACAGCCCTAACTAACCCCAGCCCTCTTGGCCCTGTCAGGGAGCTGCCTGTTCCTATAACCTGAGTGAGGCTCTACAGAGCTAGGCCCAGCCTGCTCTCTGGGCTTGGCATCTAATCCCCCTGGCCTGAGCAGGGCTTGGGAATCTTTGTCCCCAGCTCCCAACACTGGACGGTGCCAGCTGTGCCTGCCTCACACAGAATCCTGGAACCATACCCTGGGAGTGACCAACTTTCCCCGAAAGCCCAGCCGAAGGCCCCCCAGGGAGGAGAGCTCTGCCACCTGCATTCTGGAACAGCCCAGAGCCCCTGGGGGTGCCCGAGTTCTGCTGGTGCAGAGGCCCAGCTCAGGTACAGGATACTAGACATGGAGGGCAGTGGCATGAGCAACGAGGGACAGAGAAGTCAGCAGCCAAGGCCTAACCCACGCCTGGCTGCTCTCTCTCTCAGGTCTGCTGGCAGGACTGTGGGAATTCCCAACCGTGAGCCTGGAGCCCTCCGGACAGCATCCCAGCAAGGCTCTGCTGCAGGAACTACAGAATTGGGCTGGGCCCCTCCCAGCCACCTACCTCCAGCACCTTGGGGAAGTAAGTGAACCTGGAGGGGCCAGGAATGATGGTTTTTACAGCCACAGTCACAAGCCTGTTTCACGCCCTCACTCCTCCCTCCAGGTGGTCCACACCTTCTCTCACATCAAGCTGACCTATCAAGTATACGGCCTGGTCCTGGAAGGGCAGACCTCAGTGACCGCTGCACCACCTGGCGCTCGCTGGCTTACCCGGGAAGAATTTCACACTGCAGCCGTCTCCACTGCCATGAAAAAGGCACTACATTTGGTTGTCTACATCAACCCTTTCTGTGTTTCCTCCACGTAACGAAATCTACATGAACTTACTATATAAACAGAAAAAGACATAAACAAAAGGGCTGGGGCATAAAGTTGAGGGCAGAGCATGGGGATTTGGCTATTTTGGAGAAGGTGCCAGTCCTCTCTTTTCTTCTTGGCCAGGTGTTCCGTGTGTATGAGGCCCATCAGCCTGGGACCTGCAGGGTGAGTCTCACGGCAGCCATCTCTCCCCATACTTGAATCCATGACTTTCCAGTCATTTCTTGACACATGTCTGGGCACACATTCTGCAGGCTTCATTAGGGACAGAGGAATAGTTCTTGATTGGGGGATCAAGGCAATCATCTTCGAGGTGTGTGAAATGTTCATGCTAGGTTTTGTGGGACGTGGAGTGGGGACCCATCAGTTCTGTCTGGGAGGAAAGAATTAGGAAAGGCCTCTTGGAGGAAGTGGTTGCTAATTGGGGTCCTAGAAATGTTATTTTCTCCAGTTTTGGAGGGGAATTGGCAAGAATGTTCTTCCCAGGCCCAAGAGTAGAGGAGCAAAAGTGGGGCACAGTGCAGTCTGCAGTCCTCAAGGAGCCGTGTGCAGTTTGACTGGAGAGGTCAGCTGCACCTGCCCAGCTCAGCCAGAGTATGAGAACCAGGCTGCTGATGCATTTTAGCGAGAGGAGAAGAGAGATATACACGTTAGGACAATTTTCTTGTATTGCCATTTGGAGTTGATTGAAGGGGCAGTTATTTGGAGGCAGTAGATAGCATTCCAGGCTAGAACCTGAGCTAGATCAGTAGACTGGGAGGGAGAAGGGAGAGGATTCCCCAATGCTTCCTCCTTAGCTCCCTCTTTTGGCCTCTGTACAGGGTTTCAAAAGGTCCCAGGTGTCTACTCCATCCACCCGGAAAAAGCCCAGCAGGGGCCAGCAAGTCCTGGATAATTACTTCCAGCCTGTTAGCAGCACAGCCCAGTAATGCCTCTGGAATCCTACTGAACCCTACCTCTGAGAATCCTGTGGTTTAATAAAGTGCTTATTTTTGTAGTCATTTGGTGAGCTTTCTACCCTCTCCCTAACCCCTTCACTTCTCACCTCTGAGGGAAAGTGGTGAGTCCTGATTCCCTGGCTGAGCTTCCAGACAGCTCTGAGCAAATAGGGCTCCTTCCAGAGGATCTGTTTTCCCCTGCAGAGTGATGGCAGCTGCAGGGAACACCTGCCAGGGGCTGACATCCAACACCATTCTAGGTCTCAGCTCAGCTTTGACTGGAGCCGAGGCATCACTCTAGGGCAGGTGATTTGTTATAATCTAGGCTCAGTGTGTCCACCTGCAGTGGTTGCTCCCTAGGGAGAAGGGAAGCAGAGGAGGATTTAGTCTTAAATTCCTATCTCAAAAATTAAATCTTTATTTAAGAATGTATTTCATATGTAGTGCAACAATACAGAAAAGCAAAGAGTTAATTAAAATTGGTGGGGGAGGGGAGAAATGTGATCAGAGAAATATAAAGGGTTCAAAAATACTGGTTATGTTCTGTGACCTAATTGTGTAATCTTTGCTTGTTCTTTATATCTTGCATATGTATTAGATATTAAACTGTAAGAAATGTCTTAGAGTTAAAAAAAAAAAAGTTCCACCTCTTTGGAGCCCAGTGAGACTCAATTGCTGGCAGGTACTGATGAGATGGAGGCCACACTGGGCCCCTGAGAGCAAAGCTTTTCACTAGCTGCCTCCGTGGGTGTGGCTCAGTTCCAGTAGACCCTGTGTGGACTCACCAGAGCACCAGGACAGGTGAGTTGTACCCAGCTCTGCCCTTCAGGTTTCCTGGTCCCTGGTAGCTTCCTCTTGTACTGACTGCCACAGTGCTCGGATGTTGTTCTGGCCAAAGCCTGTGGCCCCCTGCCTCTCAATCAGCTCCAGAAAGAAGGTGTCCTCAGCAAAGAGGGACTTGGTGAAGACTTGAAGTAGAAATTTGCCTTTATCACCGTCTATCAGGATTCCTTGTTGGGCCAGAAGGCTCGGCTTGTGCCCTGCAGCTCGGATCTGCCCCTCTTTGCCAGGCTGCTGGTAGTATGCCTTAGGGGGCGTGAGGAGGCGACCTCCTGCCACCACCATCCCCTTCGCTGCCTCCAAGATACTGGGAGTGTACAACCCCACGTGCTGCAGGCCTGGCCCCCTGTGCCGGGCCAGGAACTGCTCCACCTGATCCGGTCTGCTGGTGGCTCCCGGGAGGGACTCGGCCAGCACAAGGGTGGGGACGGCGGTGCCTGGCGGGGTCTGTAGGGCGGTGAGCCGCAGGCCCCCACGCCCGGACCCTGCTGCCACCTCGAGGCCTAGCTCTGGATCCTCGCCTGGGCTCAGCGGCAAGTGGTGAAAGCCCAGGCAGTCGTGAAACCATCGCCTAAGCGCAGGGGAGCTCCCGGCGGTGCAGGCCAAGGTCAAGTGGTCCACGTGGCTGACCCAGCCCGGGCCGGGTGCGGAGCGCACTGGTCGGAAGCCGGGCAGGAAGAGCCCGCGGTAGCCGGCGCGTGCCATCAGGGTCAGGCTGAGGTTTCCAGCGGGCGAGCTGAGCACCGCGTAGGTGACCGTGCCTTGCACATCCTTCACGCTGACTGGGGGCACTGGCACGCGGCAGCCCTGCGCCGCCAGCGCCCGGACGGCCGCGTCCAGGTCCTCCACGTCGAAGCACAGGTTCGTTGCGCTGGGCACCGGGTGACGCGGGTCCACACCATACAGCGGGTCCCCGGCCCCCGCACCCTCGTTCACCAGAAAGACTGCGTCTCCGCTGCGCAGGGCCAGCTGCCGCCAGCCGCCCGCCTCCCGCGCCGCCAGGGGCTGGAAGCCGAAGAGGCGCTGCAGGTTCAGGGCGAGGGGCTGCCCGGCGGGCACGTGGAAGGCGATGTGGCACAGCCCGCGGGCGCGCCCGGCCATGACGGGCCGAACGGCCACCCTTGTCGTTTGGAACTCGAGGGCTGGAGGTCTCCCGAAGCCGTTGGCAGCCAGTGGAGTCCAGTTCTTCCCAAGCAGCGTGTTCCTAGCTCTTTCCCTGAGAGAGGTCTCGGACGCACCCTAGCCGCTCGGGTCTCCCTGCAGCGCAGCCCCAGCCTTGAGCGGCCTCTGGACGATCAGCTCTCCCGGCGAGCTGCGAAAACCACGCGGAGCCGGCTCTCGCGCCGCAGGGGCGGGACCCATGACTCCGCCCTAAACCGCCTCCCCAGGGCCGCCTCCTTCCCTGGGCCTCCGCCGGGTCACACCCTCGGGCACTGAGCCTCCCTGCCCTGCTGGGGGCGGTTCACAAGGGACACTTTCGTTCGGCGCTGGGTTCTCACCCTTCCCGCGACCTCAGCAAAGGGCTCGGCTCGAGTTGGGGGAGGAGCCCGAATTGACCTTTCAAAAGTACAGACTTTCTTAGCACTTTCATGTTTTTACGTTACAATTCAGTTTTCCTTTAACTCCTAATATTTCTTTAAATTGTTTAACATGTTTAAACCAGACGTGGAGGTGCACGCCTATAATCCCAGCACTGAGGTGCTGAGGCAGGAGAATGGCAAATTTGAATCCAGCCTAGGGAATTTAGAGACTTAGCGAGACTCTGCCAAAAAACCAAAAAAACAAAAACTCCAAAAAAACCTAAAAAAGGGCTAGAGATGTAGCTCAGCACAAAGGCCCTGGGTTCAATGGCTAGTACCAAAAAAAAAAAGTTTCACCTTACGTATTTGCACTCCCCAATGTGGTCCAGAGAAATTGAGGATGGAGGTCAGTATACAGAAGATGGTCAGTTGGGCCGGAGATTAGCTCAGTGGTTCCACCGCCTCCCTCGCAAGCACAAGGTCCCGAGTTCGATCCCCGGTACCAAAAAAAAAAAAAAAAGAAAAGACATACAGAAGATGGTCGGTGCTGCTGAAAACACTGAGTTCTGCTCTGGAGATCAGTGAATGTGGGAATGAGTTCTGAAACCTGACACCTGGGTTTGAATCCACCTCTAACTCTAACTAGCATGACTAAGCAAGTTGCTTAACTTTCCTGAGCCTTAGTTTCCTCATCTGCAAAAACTGGAATAAAAATGGTCCCTAGCACATAGGGTTGCCGAGATTAAATGAGACTAAATGCTCACTAAATATGTAGTAGCTGTTGCTCTTGTATTTTTGTTGTTTTGTTTTTGTGGTGTTGGAGATGGAACCCAGGGCCTTGCACATGTTAGCAAGTACTCTACCACTGAGCCACATCTCCAGCACTGTATTGTTTTATTCTATTGCATTACATGAGATGTGATTTTAAAAAATACAGTCAACATTTAAATTTTTTAAAAAATGGGCCAGGTGTGGCAGCACACATCTCTGATGCCATCACTTGGGAACCTGAGGCAGAAGAATCTTCCTAAGTTCAGGGCCAGCTTGGGCAACTTAGTGAGTTCAAAGCCACCTGAACTACATAGTGAGACCCTGTCTCAAAAAACAAAAACAAAAAACCCCAAAAGTTTTAATAAATATGTAACAGTAAAGGAAATATTGCCATTTATTCCCCTCAAAATACTCTTCCTTGCTTGGGATACTTATCCCATCATTCTTGCTACTTTCTGATGCAGTTCTGGGAAAGCCTCTATTGTGATTGACTTTAGTGTGCACCGGTGTCCTGAATCATTTCAAATTGTTTACCTTTCATGGTCACTGTGACTTTGGGGAAGAGCCAGAAGTTTTACGGTGCCAGATCTGATGAATAAGGTGGATGAGAACACACTGTGATGTTTTTACCAACCTGCCTTTCTGTTGGATGGCATTCAGTGTCAGCATTCACTGTATTTTTGATCATACCCCATAAAGACACCTACAAAAGAGGACTCAGAAATGCTTCAGAAAGTGGGAAGAACAATGGGATAAATGTGTTCCAAGCTGGGGGTGGTGGTGGTGGTGGTGGTGGTTATTTAAGGAGCATTGTGTCTTACTAAAACACTTTTTTTTGGAGACATGGTCTTGCTATGTAGTTCAGGCTGCCCTTGAACTCACTATGTAGCCTAGGCTGGCCTGGAACTTAAGGCAACCCTCCTGCCAAAATCGCCCAAGAGCTGGGGTTACAGACCTGTGCCAACACACCTGGCCACATTTTAAAAAATTTATACATCTTATATTTTGATTACACCTCATACAATGCCAGTGGCACCTCCTGAGAGTATCATATGACCTCCTGGAGGAACTTGGGCAGGGACTGCACTAGTATGTAGGTCAAAGGCCAGGCAGCCTTGTCAAGGAGCAGCTTGTGTAATGGCTCAGAAGAAGCCTTGGTTCACTCCAGATAATTCCAGGTAGCATTAATACCTATCCTTCCTACTTCATCCTCATCCCAAGACTTCTCCCTTGGCCCCAGGTACCCATAGTGGAAGGGTGCCCAGCTCCTATCCAGTCCCATTTTATTGCTTACTAACTACATGCCCTTGAGTAACACTTAGCGTCCCCATCTGCCAAACCAGGAATTCCTTTCCAGGATACCTCATGGTAAACAGGATGAGACTGAACCATGGTCTTGGGCTGAAGCCTTAAGTGACTGCAGGACCAATGAAAGGCTATCCTGGAGGGAGCTAGAGGCCCTCATCTTCCCTCCCTGCCAAAAGGGAAGTATGTCTATTACTCGATCAGATCATAGACTGCTGAATTCTCAGGTTACAAAGTGTGTGCAGCTGGAGAGTTATAACCTAGCAGGAGCCCTAGGTTGTAATCTGTGAGCTTGGGCCTGTGTAGGGCCTGATGGTGGCTCTGACCTGGCTGCAGGAAGGGGACGGGGGACGGCGACGGACGGACAGAGCAGACTAAGCAGCAAAGGCAACAGGGTCACAAAAATGGCTGTAATAGACTCTATCAGAAATAACAGGCATAGAACTACTTCTCACTAGGTCTGAGCACTGGGAAGTCACTTGGAGGGCCCGGATTTTGGTGAATTCTGAGGAAGGGGCTCTGGGAACAGAGTTCTCAGTGAGGGCTGGGCAGAATGGGCCATCTTGACCTTTCATACTCAACGGCCAGGTGAGCAGCTCTAGAGCCTCTGCCCGTTAGTTCAGCCTCAGGAGTTTCTACTTAGGCCCCAGACCAGAAACAGGGCTCATTGTTCTTCACTTCCTTCTCGGAGTAGGTACGGTTTGTGGAGGCTGCCTGAAAGATAAGGGGAATTTGGGCTGGGGCGTGTTGCCTTGCAGGGGCATTGTGGTTGACCTTGAGCGAGGGCAGACGCCAGTCTTCCTCTGCACCACCTCCTTCCAGCTCTGCTGACGTTCAGACCATGACCCACCTCGGACTCCTGTTCCCTTACGGTCAAGTCACTACGGAACTTTCACAAGATGGGTCCTAGGAGCATGGTCATGACTGCCCTCCTCTTGAGTTACTTGTGCTAAGGGCAGGAGACTGAAGCGAACCGGAGGACGCCACTGGAGGGCGTGCGGGGCCAGGGTGAGGGACAGAGCAGCTGCTGGAAGTTTCTGGCCACTTTTGCTTTCTCTGCCCGCTAGGTCCGAAAAGGGGAGGGGAGGAGTTCCAGGGGTGGAGCCTCAGCCTTGCCGCTACCGGGGGCGCATTCCGCTCTGTCGGAAATCAGAACCGGCTCTTCTCCATTCTCTCCCCTGCCAGGCCAAACTTGCTGCTCTGGACACGCCCTTTCGCCCTTCCGCCTTCGCTCCAGGCCACCCCGGAAACCCGCCCCGTTCTGCACCCACCCCTTCCTGTCCCGCCCCCAGCTCTTTAGGGTTTCCCTTCCACCGGAAGCTGGCCCGGAAAGCTCTCGCGTTTCCGAGTTTGCCCTTGCGGTCGGCTGTCTCTGTGCGTCCTTGTAGAAAGTTTTCCCTTTTTCAAGAGGTAACCCAGAAAGCCTTAGAAAAGATGACATTTATATTTTTGTGTGTGGTAAACACACGTATTTACTACCCGTTAAGCAATGGCTCCCCGCTTCACGGCCCTTCCTTTCCTCGTCCCTGGCAACCACCATTCTTTCTGATTTTAACGATTCTGGAACCTCATATAAGTAGAATCCCAAAGTAATAAAGTATATGTTGTTCTTTTCCTTGCCGTTCTGGGGATCAATTTCAGGGGTCCTTTGAGCTAGCCCCAGTACTGTATTTCTGTTTTTTCTTTTTTTTTTTCGGTACCAGGGTTCGAACTCGGGACCTTGGGCTTACGAGGCGGAACCACTGAGCTAAATCCTGTATTTCTTTTTAGAAATTCACTTAGCATAATGTCCTCGGGGTTATTCTATCCTGAAAGAAGTGAGCCAGATGGCCAGTAAGAAAGACTTCTTCTGGGGGTGGGGGTGTAGCTCAGTGCTAAAGCACTTGCCTATTATGCACCAGGCCCTGGGTTCAATTCCTAGTACTGCCAAAAAAAAAAAAGAAAGACTTCTTCCCCAGCAGAGGAACAGGCCTAAAAGCCTGTGCCGGGAATGCTAGATCAAAGGTCAGTGCAGCTGGAGGAAGGTAAGGAGTAAGGAGAGTGGTATTCGTAAGGTCAAATCTTGCAGCAATTAGATCTTGAGTCTTGACTTTTTTTTTTTGGCACGGGACCTTGTGCTTTCGAGCCAGGTGAGCCAGGCGGCGAAACCACTGAGGTAATTCCCGTCTTGAGTCTTGACTTTTACCCTTAGTGAAATAGCACGCCATTGGAAGGCAGACCTGATTTCACCCCCTTTTTATTAGTACATGTTTGCAATATACAATATATCGTGGAGAGTACAAATACATATTGGTACAAATGCATATTGCATCTTAATCCTTTTATTCTCCCCTTTCCTTCCCCTCCCTCCTGTTTTCTTTTGGTCTGGTGCTGGGTTGGAATCCAGGTCCTCGAACTGCACTCTACTTGGGAGCCTAGACCATATTTCTACTGAACCTCCTTGACAGTGTTGAAAATAAGCTGGAGAGAAGCAGGTAGAGAAGGGAGGCTAGTGAGGAGGTGATGGCCAACATTGTCTTGAGGACCAGGGAAGGGTTCCCCAGAGGAAAGGACTGTCAAGAGCAGCAGATTGAGTTGGAATTGACAAGGTGAAAACTTGTTTACACTGGGAGGTGGGCCTGGAGTGATGTGTTACAGGGAAGGGCACAGCTTATGTAAAAGCCTGGAAATCTGATTAACAATGATCAGTCATTAAATCCTTCCTTAGACTGGGGATTTCTTGGGGGAAGAAGTGGATTTTCATTTCCGTAGCCCCAAAGCAGAATCTTCTATCAGTCTCTGTGGGGCCCTTGCTCAATGTGTAAGGGAGGTGGGAACCATTATACATTGGGTTTCAAAAACCCATCCCTTTTCTACTGTAAATTTTTACTTTAGTGTAATAATAGCCAACTGTGTGTCTCAGTATGTTTCCTTGAGGGATACAGGAAGCAATCTTTATGTTTACCCACTTGGTAGGATGAACGGCAAGGTGTGTGCACTTGTGCAGAAGTGTCAAACCAGGATGTGTACTCACATTATGCTCTGTCAAACAGGTTTTGCTCATGTTTACTAGAGCATCACAGAGGATATAATACACTACTCTAGGATTTGTTTTTATGTTGGTTTTTAAAATTTTTATCTTTTGGTACTAGGGGCTTGAACTTGGGACCTTGCACTTGCGAGGCAGGCGGCAGAACCACTGAGCTAAATCCCCAGCTTCTACGATTTTTTTTTTTTTTTTTTGTGGTACCGGGGATTGAACTTGGGACATTGCACTTGCGAGGCAGGTGCTGTATGATTTGTTTTTTTAAAAAATTTTCTTTTGATTTTTCTGGTGGAAGTACCTCGGTTCGCTACAATGGCACATGAAAAACCAGATTTGCAAGTTTTAGAGGAGGTTAAAAGTCAGTCATCAGATTACTCATGCATAGATGATAAAGATGATCCATTATGGTAAAAGAAACATGTTTTCATAACAGAAGAATGGTATGGGTATATGATGATGATGATGATGATGATGATCCATTATAGTAAAAGAAACATGCTTTCATAACAGAAGAATGGTGTGGGTATATGATGATGATGATGATGATGACGACGACAAGGACAACTTTGATGTTGGCCATGTTGATAGAGACAGGTAAATTAGGTAGAAACATTGTAGGCAGT